AACACTATATAAAATTGTTGTATCGTTAAAGAGATTACAGACAGACAAAGGTGTTTCTCAAGTGAAGGAACATCAATATAAATGAAAGATAAGAGGTTTATTGTAAAAGACTGAAAAACAAGGAATTGGGTGGCAGGCTAGTAATTCCTGAAGCAAGGTTATTTACCTTACCACCCCACAAGGCAGGATGTGGCACAAGGCCTTTTTTAATGCTGGGTAAAACCGAGTCTGTAGGCTTGGGTAAAAATTCCCCATAGACCCTATATACATGAGATTGGGTAGCTGTCTACCACCCCAGACAAGACTCTGCCCTTCAGCATAGACTCATCTGGGTTCCTCTTTGCCCGAAGGCAGAGAGTTCAACCAGCACAACTGTAAACGAATCTCCAACTAATTACCAAAGCAAGGTTATTTACCTCACCTCCCTACAAGGCAGGATGTGGCACAAGGCCAATTTTAATGTGGGGCAAAACTGATCCGTGGACTTGGGCAAAAATTCCCTGTAGACCCCGTAAAAACAGGGTCAGGTAGCTGTCTTCCACCCCAGACAAGACTGCCCCTCGGCATAGCCTCGTTTGGTTTCCTCTCTGCCCAAAGGCAGAGAGTTTGACCAGCTTAGCTGGAGATAAATCTCCAACTAATTGCTGAAGCAAGCCCCCAGGTATATCCTGTGCTCACTATATATAGCTACTGATATAGTCAGTCCACATAGGCAATAGGGAGTGTAGGACATTCCATTACAACAAAAATTCACTATTTTTTATCCATAATGTTGAATGTGTTAAAATTATTCAACATTTTAAGAAAAATTTCAAGTTGATGCTAAAAATTACTGCAAAGTATTGTTGATTTATTTAAGATGGAATGATCTATTATGACATGTCTCTAATTTGTATTTAGATACATTGTATTTATTTTTAATTTTTCTAGTTGTATTGTTCACCTACATTACATAAGATCTGTTATTGTATATAATTAGGTTAGAATAAAATTTGTATTTTATATGAATACTACCTTATGAAAATTTAGGTGTAGTCAAGTGGTGCTCCTGTATCCTACATTGGTGGTGGGTCATGAGGTTTTTGCACCAGCCATGTTTTCCAGCATGATTGAGAAAATTTGCAGTAAACTGTTACCTGTCATTTTTAGTGAACATCTTATGTAACTGCCAATCTTTGGTGAAGCCATTTTCAAAATAGCCTTTGAAATATTCCCTGTGGACACATTTGCATTATCATGTTTGTTTCTTCTACTACCATTGTCATAACTGCTGTCTTCAATGTGATTGCCGTTGTCATATTCATTTTTTTCACCGTTGCCGGAATCTGTTTCTTCCTGTTCATCGTTTTCCCCTGGGATGTGTAATGGTGTTTCCTCACTCTGACACTCAATACTTTGCAGTCTGTAAATATAGACTCTATAATTTTTCTTTTATAGTATTGTTTACCCAATACAAGGCCGAAGAGCCACTCAAGGTAGAGGATCACTGTGGTGTTGTATGAGCATAAGAAAAACCAAAGAAATGAAGTTCATGAGCTTATACAGGAAAAATAACAATTAACACTAGACTTGAAAATGTCAAAATTGTAGTGATTGGGAAGATATGTTGCTGCGAGTCTGTTCCACAAAGCAGCAGTCTTGGGGAAAAAGCTGTCCAAGTGGAACTATTGGAATACAAAGGAAATGGGGAATCAATGGATTCAAACTTGTGTATGCAGCAGGGCAGGCCTCAGTTGTAAAGGGCAGATGTGGTGGAACTAAAGAATATACTCATACCATGGAAATAGCAATAAATTAGTGAGAGGCTTGTGATGTTTCATCTGTGGGAAAGAGGTTGTAGAGTGGAAAATAATTCATCACCCATAAGTCCACATAGACGTTTTTCAACTATCAACACAGGACTGGGCAGCTCCAGCCCAGATCTGGCAGCAATAATCCATTTTTGGTCTGATCTGTCTCTTTTAAAGATAGAGTATAGCAAGGAGAGTCAGGTACTTACTGGCACAGTACAATAAACCAAACATTTTTCCAGCATCTTCAGCAATAGGAATAGATTGGATACATGAGTGCCACTTGAGGTCTGGGGTGAGCTTGAGTTCAAAGAGACATTCAGGGCAAGGAGCCTTTTGAGAGAACACCCATCCATCATGATAGGTGAACATTGGGGTCTGCTTGGTGGTGGTGGTGATGAAATGTTACGAGTTTGGTTTTAGTCAAATTGAATTTTAAAAGCCATTTTTCTCCTGTTAAGGCACCTGGGATAAATCAAAGGAGTGTGTAGTTGCCAGGTTCTGGTCATATAGATTTTTGGACATACACCTATAATAGATACGATCATACGTGATCAGTACCTGTTTTCTATTGCACACAATTAAAACTCCTCAGCCATGCCATATATCAGTTTTCGATCACATTTGATGAAGAAGAGCTTGGTGTATTCTCTCGTTTGCTTCATTTTTCATTAACTTCTCTCTTGCCAAGGCATTTAAGTTTTCTGTCACTACTTGAGCATTTGTTTTTTGTTCTGATGTTGATGGTTTGCCATTAAACTCATTAGGCAAAGTTGGATGTTTTCCAAAACCCAATTAATTTGGCAGAAACCCACTGAAATTATGTAAAGAATTTCTGATAACTACAGTTCAGGCCAAAGCAATCTTTACATTGGAATTTGCTTCCTTGATAATGTTTCACACACTGTTTTCAAACAAACCAGCTCAAGAAGAACAAGACCAACATCCTTTGCTGTTAAAGAATTCTTAAATTGATTTTGTGGTTCTTCTTAAACCATTAACAAAACCCGCATCTCTTCAGCTTTACTCTCATTGCTATGGGGACAACTACAAGCCCAACTTGCAGGATCTGCAAATGAAACATTATTTCATTTTGCCATCAACACTTCATGAGTTATTTTTTCCTCCTATTTTTCTATAACAACTATGTGGTTTACATTTTTTTTTTTTTAATCATTTCACCCCATGCAAGGCATTAAAGCCACTAGGACATAGGAGGTTACTGACTGTTAGAGAAAAACTACTATTAAGGAGAAATGACAATAAAAGAATAAGAATTAAGAGGACTGAAGATAACGATAGGCATTGCATTTAAATTTTTGAAAATCAAATTTGGGAAGCAAGAAGCCAGAAGAGAGTTACACAAGCAAAAAGCATGATAGAAGAAACTGTTAGAACAAAAGTTACATCAAGGCCATTTCAACTGTAAACTGCAATGGGAATACTAAAAGTTGGTGTTTGTAACCAATGCCAAAGTTGCAAAGTGGCACTGTTCTCTTTGAATCTTGATGCTGTTCTTCAATACAATCGATCGACAGCACACTCTACTAGTTCCTTTAGTCTGATCTTGCACCAATGGAGGTTAGTTTTGATTGCATCTTTGTACCGTTTCTTTAATCAGCCTTGACGTCTTCTGCCACATAGCAGCTCTCCTCTATACAACAGGAATCTGAGAATGCAATGTTGTACCATGTGGATAACATGGACTGGTTTTCAGGCTTGTGCCTTGAAAAGCATTGATTCAATGATGGTTGAGTTTGCACAGTACAAAATTTCAAGGTTGGTAAACAGAATATAAATAACTTCACTAATTTCTTGATGTGCTTGCAGCACAAGATCCACGTTTTGTATCTGTAGAGAGAAGATAAGCGCATTGCACTGTACACAATTGTGCAAGACTTAAGACTATACACAATATTTGAACAATGCAATAATATTTTTTTGTGAGCTTTTTTAATATAACTGAATCTGTAAAAATTAATTTTTACAAATTGTTATAAAATGCCACCATGGGCATTGTGTACAGGTAGGAATGGAAAAAAACACTGACTGAATAAGAATCTCTAAAGTTAAAATTGTCTTCCTGTAGTCAAGGAGTTAAGAATTCAGTCAGTTTGGGAGTAAAAATAAGAATGAATGTGTAGTCTACTTAAAGTTGATCAAAGAAGAATAAAATAAAAAAATATTCATTTTGCAATCATCTCCTTGGGAAAGGCATGATCTCACCTTACATTGTTAAATATTATTATAACAATCTCACCTTCAAGCCATACAGTTGGAGAAAAAGACAGTAACAACTCAAAGCTGTTATTCCCATAGTCAACCTTGACAGGGGCCAATCAAAAGGTAAATATAATCAATACTTTTAGATAAAATTCTTAATAGAAAATAAAACTGTAGGCTAATACACCTAGTTATTCATGCCGGTAAATTTGGAAAGCAAATCAACTTTGAATTGGATTTTTTTTTTCTTATAATATTATATATATATATTACACACACACACATTAGAAAAATTCTAGAAGACCATGAAGACAAGTGGATTTTGCATCTCAAAACACTCCATCCAGATGGGCTTAATCACAAATTTAACAACATAGATAGAACTGATGTATAACCCCATAAATCAACCCACATTTTTATACACACCCACACTAATATATACACTTACACACATCACACACACTCCCAAAGAACTAAATGATAACATACACTTAACACAAACCCTTTCCATGAACCAATAAAACTGTCAAAATGACCAAGGGAATTCAGAGCCACTATCTTAAAATCAATTTAAAAGAGGACGTTTGATCAACACAAGGACTGAACAAAACTAGCGATTAAAAAAAAAAAAAACAAAAAAAAAACAGATAAAGTTAATTTTTTTTCAGAAAGTCATTCATTTCTGTAGTTCACTGCTACTAACAAGCAGGAATTTTTTTTCTCCCAATGATGGCCATACTGGCTGAATCTAGTCAAGGAACCTAAATGAAATAATAAAATAAAAAAAAATATTAATATATCACCTAGTCTGTTTGAAAATTTTAATTTTTTAATATTTTTTATTGTTCAAAACACACACACAAGCTAAGCAAGCATTTCATTGTGATTAGGTGGACTGTAAAAGATGACAAATAAAAGCACTATTAACAGATTTAAAATGAATAGTTTATTGGAAATGAAGTATTACAAAGATGAATTTATACAAAATCAGCGTCTCCGCCTATCTTCACGATCTCCCCTGTCTCTATCTCTGTCACGATCACGTCGGCTCCTTGGAGAGAGGAAAAAAAAATGGTAAAAATCCAGCATTAAATAAAATTACATATTACTATCTCTGCAACATTTTTTGTATAAGATACAACTAAAAACATTCTCTGTATGAAAATGTGAATTTGGTGTCAAAAAGTTTGTGTGTTTTTTTATTGGCTTTTTCTTTTGGTTTTTTAAAATTATTTTTCACTCATTGTGTAATTAGATACCATTATTTTTGAGTTTTGTAAATTGATAAAACAAATTAGGAATCTTACAATCAATAATTATGAGAGAACAAATACATTTCAATCACATAAAAAACAACATATACTTCTGATCCTTTTTCTAAACTGACAGCTAAATTGGAAATATAATATTTAAAATTGATATTTAGTAAAAATAAAGAGGTATGCAAATATTTATAAATATAAAAATAAAATTATCTTTAATTTTCTGGAGAAATATATGAATGATGTCTTTATGAGTAAAATGAATATAGAGAATAAAAAGCTTACCTGCTTTTTCTTGGTCCTCTTACAAAACACCAATCGACATTGATTTTTTGGCCTAACATTTCAGACCCATTCAAGGCATCCATTGCATTCTGTGCTTCTTTAAAAGTTTCATATTCTACTAAGGCATAACCCTGTAAGGGAAAGAAAATGCATTATGAAGTAGAAGATTTACTTATTTCAATTGTCTTCTCATCTAAGAATATTTTTAAAGATTAAAAGCTGTGCAGAAATTTAGATCTTATTTGATATCAACCATTTTATCTCTATAAAATAGTAATTAATTAATCTTAAATTGAATCTTTATATTTAGAAAAATTAATACTTAAAAATAAAACTGTTCAAAGTCTAAACTTTTATTGCACATTTCTACAAATCCATTTACTTTTACTTCAAGTAAAAAGTTTCAGTACTGAATGAAGTATTTGATCAATTTACAGTCTTCAATAATAGAAATATTTCCAAAATTTAAATAAAAATAAATCATTCTCTATTATTTTAAACATAAAAAAAAAAAAACAAAAAAAAAACAAACTTCCCATTCTTTAAAGAACTGACATCAAGATTCAATGACTTTTCACAAACCAATTTATTTACTATTTTTTGTATAACAGCAATATAAAACTGGTTAGAGGAATTGAAAGAAAAGTATATCTAAGAAAGGAATGTGCATGAAAGCTTAATACTCTTAATGTTAAATCTTCAATGTGCCATGTCCCTTTCAAAATGTGGGTGATCATAGGTCTCCACAACTTCCTATCCATTATACCTCTAAGCAATGTTGTCTTCTTACTATCCACTCCAGTCCGTTCTGCCATCCACTTACACAAGCTGATTAGGTAGTTTTTTTTTTTTTACAATAATGTTCACTCTATACATGACCCAAGAGCCATTCAAGATAGAGGGTTACAGAGTAATTGGTAAGAGGCATAGTTTATGGGAATATGTGGGGAAGATAACAGTTAACCACTATAGCAGATGGAATACATAAATGTCAAGGGAAAACAATTCTGTAATTAACAGTTAATAAATTTGGAATTATTTCTTAGGGATGGATTTTTTGTCACTTTGCACTTAATTAAAAATTCAACAAATCAGTGGCCCAATTGGAGTGGAAATCAATTCATTCTCCAAGTTAAAGCATTTAAACAGTATTGTGCTAACAAAAACAGTGCTACAATGTGCCACTTTTGCTATGCTACAGTAACAGACAGGCAAAAATCAGATCCTTATAACAGTAATTTAAAATAAAAACTTTTAAAGAGGAATGAATTTCAAATTACAATTTGAATTATTTAAAATATTACAAATTGACATATTTAAGAGGACAAATAAATGTTTGTGCCAGTGAAGGCATCTGCAAAATATTTTGGGATTAAGATAGTGTCATCTTTCAACACAATAAGAAAAACATTTTTAGCAAGGTTCATTTCAATGCAATTTAATAATAAATCACTTACTTTTATGAATCCAGTTCGACGATCCAGGTTCACATTGAGATTTTTTATTTCTCCATAGGTAGCAAATATTTCATAAACATCATCTTCCTGGGCCTCTTCATGAACACCGGTTACGAAAAGAATCCAACCTTCGACAGCTGCAAGCAAGAATCAATTTTCTAAAATCAAAATATGTAGACTGGAATCTTTAGTCAAAATATGTGTGTGTATGTATGTAGGGTGCAATGGATAAATTATTGCCTATATTACGCAAAAATGAAAATAACACTGACATCTCATTTTAACATATATATTTACCAAAATTACACAAAAATATCTTGATATACTAAAGAGTAAATTCATTTAATAAAATCGCCATTGTCTTCAACCATGCTCTCCAGACAACTTTGGAATCTCCTGCAACTCTTCTGGACACGCTTCTTGTTTAAGTTGGTGAATGCTGCCATAATCCTTGCCTTTAGTTCATATATGGCCAAGAATTATTCAGCACCTCCTCATATAACATGAAGCAGATTCATTCAAAACTTAAATTCAGCAGTGATACCACAATTTCTAAAATAGGGATTACACAAATGTTTTTATTAGGATTCAAAATAATCATGCGTATAGTATAAAAACTTATTTGAAATTTGTGATACACAAAGAATCTGCTCCAAAAATTTATATATATTTCAGGTAAGGAAAAAAACTTTTGTAGTTTTATCAAATTGTGATATCACTGTTTTCTATAGGGAACCGTAAAGGATGTTGTGCATTAAGGAAACCTGACTACATTGGCAGCTCTTAGACTGGACACTTTAGCCAATTTTATGCAGTCATAATTTACTGTACTAATACATGCCCATAAGCTAAAGGCCACTATTTTCAGCATTTCTTGTGATTGTAGAACCCAAAGGTAACTTGTATTAATGTCATGATGTCTGAATAAATTTAGTATTGCAATATCTATACAAGTTTTTTCTTTCCTGAAGTGTGTATGAGTTTTTTTGTGTTTTTTTTTGCTGGATTATGTATATATTTTAAAAACAACAAGAATTAAGAAAACAGATGATAATGATTGATATTGCATTTTAATTTTTGAAAATCAAAGTTGACAGGAAAGCAAGAAGTTGGAAGAGAGTTTCACAAGTGCAAGAAAAGAAGCTGTTAGCATAGAATTTACGATTACATCTAGTTAATTCAACTGTAAAATGATGATACCATGCTGTGAACCTAGTACTGAATGTAAATTTATAAAGTTTAGGTACCATATGCATGCATGTACATGTGTACTTATCTAACACATAAGGTACACCAGGTATCTGAAAACACTCCTTTAGTGTGCTACAAATGGAAGATAGGTGTATATAATAATATGCCACAAAAGCAAATTTTAACATTCTCATTTCTCTTTCAAATGTATCAAGTGCATTAACATGGCAGCTTTTAATCTGACAGGAAATCAATGGGTATGCAATGCCAATGGCTTTAGTCACCAAACACAGCAATTTGGAGTTAACCAGCTACTTGAAAGTGATCAGGTGAACAAAAATAACAACATATGGCTCTGTGCTGAGCTCCTGCCCCTCCTGGGCACTCACTATGATGCATGAACAACAGAGGCCATGTGATAACACTTCACTTCTTCTTGCAGGGCTTGAGGTTCAATTTCACTGTGTACATCAAGGTGCTAGACATAGTGGTGAAGCTCTGAATGAAGCTGAGTGGCTGTACACATTCCAGCAAGACTCTACCCCATTGTACATGGCAGATGTAACCCAGGTGTGGATGGATGGGTATTTTCACAATCATATTGCCTCCAACAGATGTGGCATCATCGTGGATGTGATGGCCGACATGAACAAGAACCACCTGATCAGGGCATGCAGTTAGTTCCAAGGCTGCACCAGAGACTGTCCTTGAGGCTGAGGGTGCTATTATTGAATTAACTTTGGATATTTTTTTTTCCAGTTGAACATGATTACTTTTTCTTTTTTTTTACACTACTGAATATCTATACAATGTCAGAAATGTCGGAAAATCAATAGTAGTAGAATGTGGTATAGGAACTAATAGAGAGAGCGAGAGAGAGAAAAAAAAAAAAAAGAACACATCTATACAGAGGGGACTAATTTCAAATCCAGCAGACATTAATAGCTTCAATAGGAAAAAAAAAACTTTATGGTCATAGCATCTAATAAGGATATTTATTATCTCCTTCCTCAAAAATTCCAATGCACTTCACTTACATGGGTTTGTTTTTCATTCCAACTTAAAAGGCACCTACAATCACAATATCTGAACAAGCTTTTCTACATATCCCTATATATATAATTATATATATATAATATACACACACACACAGAGTATATACTCATGTAACATGCGATCTCTTGTATCATGCAGCCCTCAGATTTTCACTTATAAAAAATGATCTTGCGAGACCAAATTACAATGGACTAACCTCTTTTCCTCTATCTCTTTATCTCATCTTCTAGTTAAATAAGTTAAGTAAATGAGAATGATAAAGTATTGGTAGTAATGCTACACTTGTTAACACATACAACCGAATGAGCAACAGCTAAACATCTTATAAAGGTAAATAATAGAAAAGATGCATATTCGCTATGTTTGTACTTTATATGATACTAATATGTGAATATTACATGCATTATTAATTTTAAATACAGCTGCACTTTTTGACTACAGTACATGGATATATAGTTTGATTAACAGGCCAGTAGTACATCATACGCTAATTTTATATGATGTGGGGTGATGCAACCCCTTTAAAATTAGATTCAAAATTAGGTCTTCAAAAGTTGCATGATGTGGGTGGGTGTGTGTGTATATATATATATATATAATTTTACACACACTATATAAGGAATGATGATAAAAATACAGTTAGTTATAATCTGCAAAGAATTTCCCAAGTAGTTACAATTTACATAAAAACTTTCCATTATTTCCTACACCAGTTTTAAATTTGACACAAATAGATTGTTAATGAGATAAAATATTTGAATGGATACTTACATCTTTGGGGACCTGGACCCCCATCATCATCGACATCCATAACTTCATAGTCTTCCACACCACTCTTTGTTTGGCCCTCTAATAAAAAAAAAAAAAAAAAATTATTTCAAAGTAAACATTGTTAAGATTGTAAATAAAACCAAAAATTAATTTATTTAGCATAAAATAATCTAGACAAAGCATAAATTTCTCCCTCTCATTATATATATATATATATATATATATATATATATGAGAGAGAGAGCTTTTGGAAGTAAAGTCTGATGATCCAGAACCCTGTTAAAGAGGTTATGGTGAAATAGCTTATTACATGGAATCTTAACATGGTCTGTTTTTATATATATATATATATATATATATATAAACATCTTTCATTGAATGAGGGGTGACAAAGATTGAATTAATTTAAGCTTTTCCAGCATTCTAACAGTTAACCATTTTATAGAAGTTAAGGAACATAAAAACTGTCCATAACTTTTATTGCCCCAAGAGCTTTTGGACACTTCTATAGCCATTTTCAAGGGTGTTTTGTCTCTGGTGTTGTTATTTTTTCTTTATGTTTTGACTGTTATGTTGTAAATTATGTTTATTTTTTTAAAAAGCTACAGAAGTGACTGAATGTGATTGAGACAATAAAAAGCATGGACAATTTTAATATTCCTCCACTTCTACAAAACCGAAAAATGTTAGGATGCTGGAAAAACTTAATTCAATCTTCTTTGTCAGTCATATTTAATAAAAGATTTTTGAAAGAAAGGTTGTGTGTGTGTGTGTATATATATATATATATATATATATATATATATATATATATATATATATATATATATATATATAAGAAAGAACAGTAAGATATATAATCCGTGTTCTTACTGATATTTTTTATTTTTATAAAACAGTGCTCAATGTAAATTTACAGAGCATAAATATTATATTATTCGCTTGAAGATGAAACAGAACTAATGCTTTTAATTTAATTATATAATTAAATTTGAAGTTTTTTAGCTTCAGTTTTTGAAACATGGTTATTACTGTGTAGTGAAAAAACAATATTTTAAATAATTTATAATATATTTTGTGACATAGCCACGATTTCATTAACCATATAGGCGTAAGGTTAAAAAGCACCCCAAAGTAAAATCTCAAATTCTAGTCGAAAATTAGTTAGATATAAAAGAAAAATAAATAAATAAAAATAGAAATTTAATCCAATGCTTTCGACTTGCGAGCGAATATGTTCTATGATCAGCCATACCCTCTTCTCTTTACAAATTCTTTTCCTCTTTACCTACTATTCCACCCACAAGCCAAGGGCCTGTGAACTTTGAAGTGACCCGACGCAAGAATGACCTGGTTCCAAAATTTCGTGGCTATCAGGTGTTTGACCATAAGGCACCATCAGGATCTCCTGCTGCGATTCACATGATCAGAACATACTAAGCGTGTATTGAACTTTTGGCCCTCACACAAACACTACGGTCAAGGACGAAGGGAACCCACGTGACTGTCTTTGGGGACAGCAAAAATCTAAAAAAAGAATTTTCAGTTTCCCTCTGACCAGTGACAGTTGAACGTCACTGGGCAAAATCATCCAGATTCCAAAATGAACTGCCCACTGAGATGAAGAAGACAGCAAAGTCTGTCAACTAGAGATGAAAGGACTGCTATGAAACTGAATCGACCCAACGAAATGCCTGTATGAGATTCTGTGGGCATTGAACACTTGCGAAATAAAAGAAATCCAGGAAAATCGCCGGCTGGCCAAAATATTGTTTTAGCATAAGAACTCTCGCTTTGGCGAATCAGAATTTTGTGTGAAAATATCGACTTGACTGACAGATAAGTTGATTCTCTTGGCTTGAACTTTTTTTTTTTTTTTTTATATGTATGTATTCGCTCGTGCATTCTGTTCTTTAATAATCCCCTTCCCCTTTGTTAAATGAATGGTCTTTTTTTTTTTTTTTATCGGTCTATATATTTCTAAATAAATGTTTTATTTTGAAATCTATCATCTTGTGTCTGTTCTTTGATTCCCTTATGTCACTTCCATTTCTGAGTGAAGACCGAGAAAAGATTCCACGTTTCCTTTTTTTTAAACCCGTGGTTCATCTATATGCTACAAGTTCGTAACTATATATATATATATATACACACACACACATAACAAAATAAAATCATCTGACACACATTAATAACAAAAATTAAATCTGACACACGTGTGTGTGTGTGTCAGATTTAATTTTTGTTATTAACCAGAAACAAACAAATCTGAAATATATAAGCTATAGAACCATATTTGATTAACCCAATATTCTATTATTTTACATGCGCATATAGGCTCCATGGCATTCTAAAATCTTTAATCTTTCAACTATTGATTTACTTAACTTTTCTACTGTTTCAACTTTACCTGCTGTAGTTTTTGTTTCCCAGTAATCTTCTTTGCCTAAATATTATTTTCCATTCTTATATACATCTCTTATGGTGACCCACACATTCTCTATTAGATTCAAATCTGAAGAGGCTGGGACTATTTTAATTTGGTACATTTGAAAAGGTTTTTGGCAAAATGGGCAATAGTCAGCTTTGCAGAATATAAAGTGGCATTGTATTGCATGAATATAACTTTAACTTCTTTAAAATCTTACCCCCAAAATGTTTGAAAACTCAATTCTTTCTATCTATACTAAAGCATCACTAAATCAAATAGACCTTCAATTTTACTGCTTTCACATTACACATTTACTGCCAAAACATTACTCCACTTCCTCATGTTGACTCTTTCTTTGAATAACCCAAACTAAAGCCCAGCCATCAGGTCCATCCAATGTAGCTCTACATTCATCAATTGAGAAATAAGTTTTCATGTACTTATTTGCCCAACTTACATGTTTTTCTTCGTGATGGTAGTTTTGGTTGCCTTCATGTCTTTAGCCAATATTCTTAATTAAAGTTCGTACCGTATATACTCGTGGATAGGTCACACATTTTTTAGCAAAAATTTCACAAAATATTAGGGGTGCAACCTATACACTTGACATAAATGTAAAACAACACCCAACTTGTCATCATGATTTCTGAGAAATCAGAAAAGATACCCATAAACACTAAAACTGTGGTTTTTCTCTGTATAGAAACGATTTATCTATCATATATACTGACTCACTACTTTAAACTTATCTCATGCTACTAGATTGACATATCCATTACAATAAATAAATAAAATTATGAAATATTCATAGATCCATCAGTTACCGTTTGGTCAGGGTCCTCACAGTAGACTGATATAGAAACCCTGAACATGCATACATTAAGTTAAGGAACCACATTTTAATGTTTATTGACAAAGAAAAAATAGTCACACGATTCATTCTGCAAAATATATTTTGTCAAAAATACATTGGAAAATATGACTTAAAGAAATGAAATATATTCTTTATGAAACAATTTTCTTTAATGGTTGTTTCATATATATTAAAAGGTGTTCTTAAGTGTTATTTACAAATAACAAAGCGTATGAATCTAGCACCCAAAATGTTTGCACTATTTTGTATTTTAACTGCAAATGTGTATTAATAATTGTAAGTTTTGAAATAAAAAGGTAGATATCTGATTAATTCTTACATTTAAAAAACCTGTGTAACTCCCCAGATTATAGTGTGATCTATCTGCAAGTCAACAGAAAATTATCATTTATTAAGCCATAAAGGGGGGGGGCCTATCCACGAGTATATACGGTATTTTCTTTTAATATTTTTATTTTGCCAAGGTTTTTATTTTTTTGTTCTATGATTTCTATTCAATTTTATCATAATTTCCAACATTGTATTCCAACTACTCAACTTTACAATATCTTGTTTCTCTTTTGAGGCTATATCTTTCTTATGCCCCATGGCAATCTTAATATGTCTGAAATTAAAAAATACAAATTCTATTATCACTTACAAAATAAAATCTGACAAAGAGTATTTTTTTTTTTTTTTTAAATTGAATCACTAAAATCTCGAACACTATTCCCAATCTATTTGTTGTGCAGCAGCTCAGACCCGACACTAGGTTCGTTGACAGGGTGCAGTTTCTTCAAACCAAACATTACATTTTGTCCAGACCATTACCCACAAGTGAAGAACAAAACAATTTCTAGCAGTAAACCAAATTCTTGGTTTGTAACCTACTGCTATAAGTGAGTGAAGTAGAGATGAGGTGTAAGTAAGGGGGGGGGAGAAAGGTGCACAGTTTAGTGGCTCTCTTCTCTGTTTTGCAAGTCCCACTTTGTTCCTTCTGTGTGCCTTTTCACGGGATGGTCAGGTTTATAGAAAACAATTTTCTTTGTCTGATAATTAATCTTTCTTTCTGGGGACTTTCTCTCAGTTGGAGCCTCTTGCTCTGTACTTTGAAGTTCACTTCACTTACCGATGACCATCAGTCAAAAGTAAATGTTCTGTATCAAGTTTTGCGACAGGACCTGGTGTTTTCAATTTAACAAGACCTAAGCTAACTGATATTGCTACATATTTTTGCATTTGGTTCATTTGTTTAAATAATATATATAGGGAAACAAATAATATATATATGCATACCATTTGAATAAATAAATTTCCCAAAAAACATTCAGATGTTTAACCATTTGATCAATTTTACTTTTTTTTTTTTTAACGGTCATACAGACCCATATTTTTACATGATATATAGTATATATTATATACAGGGTGTATCAAAAATACTTTTATGAATTTTGGGGGTGGGTTCCTGCTGTAGAGTGGTTTCACAGTGGAGGCTTGTATTTGTACTAAGTCAGTCCTAAAATAGGTTCGACGTACAAAACGTTAGGAACGTGATATAATAGGTAATGACGCAGTAATCTAGTTGTGGTGGCTGATACTTTAATATCCGACTAACGGTCGTCCAACATCGACTGACTAACTCACTGAGCCCCAGCAACTGACTTGTTACTCTTACTACTCCTACTTGTTATAGGTGGGCAAGTCTATTAACTATAGAATAGGTGTGTTCCACTATAACAGTTCCTCACGCCAAAACAAGGACAGAAGTCCACATAAACTTATGTCCAAAAGGCCATCGTTGTACTGCAACACAATTTGAAACAGCCATACAGTCTCATGTCTATTATCATTCATTGTATGTAAATATTATATCTTCCAGCTTATGATATGAATATCCTACGATTTTTAAATGGAACGGTTCTCAATTAACTCACTACTACACATGTTAAATATGGAAAACAAACTAGCCACAAATGTACATGAATGACAAATGTAACCTAATCTATATGGCAACACAGCACCATCTACCATAAACTTTCTTTAAACTTAATAACTCAAAAACAAATGATTTGCAGACATATGTTTAGAGACTTTTGTCCAAGTTTTGGTTGAGAAACCTGTTCCTGATGCTTTTGATACACCCTGTATAACACAAACACATTCAAAAGAAAAGTGCTGAAAAATTCTTGTTTCTCTTACAAATATTTGATCAAACAGCCAAAGAACCTTTCAGCACTCCATTAAGTATATACATGCACAACCCTTTCATTTATAAACTTTCTTCCAAATTTAAATATGCTCTTGAAATGTCATCAAAGAAAAACAGAAACACTTTTGTATTAAGTAAATAAAAGTTAATAGATTTTATAAAACTAAAGAATTTTAGTTTTCACTTAATTTTCTTTAACATTTAGAAAACAATCTCAATGATTCACATATATAAATAAATGTAACTCTACAGTTTTGAGAAATATAGAATAATTTAGCCAAATCCATTGAAATCATTTTTTTTCAGTTCTATACTTACCAGCACCAAATCCTCTTCCTTTCCTTTTTTTAGCATTTTCCTTTAATTTCTGAAGACCCTCTGGAAAAAAAAAAAAATTGTTGAATTCTGTTTATTTCATCTTAAAAATCAATGACAATCATATCCAATAGTTGTAGAAAATACAATTCAAGAATTTAAATTAAAACATAATAATGCAGCAACTATAGTTATAAAATTAAAGAAAAGTCTTTTATCTGGCTGCTCTCTATAACATGGAAAGATACTTAAAGATCATATTCAATCACAAAACAAAGAAAAATTTGTTCATTAATGATTATGTAAATGATACTTTTAAGCTAGTTCAAAACTTTATTACTACACTATTTTTGAATACTCAAAAATAATACTAGTTCCAAATATTTCTCAAATACGAAATGCTGAATTACCTAACCCTAGAGTTTTTACCTTACATCATATTTTCAACAACAACAACAAAAAAAAAAAAATGTAGTTCAATTTCTGTGGAGAAAAACAAAACTTTTACCTGGCCTCTTATTTTGAATACACTTTCCAAGTGGGAGAACATTTACATTTTGAAAATATTACCAGATATTAGAAAAATAACTAATGAATAATTGTTTACATGTTCATTTTAAAACATGTTTAAAATAAAGTAATTATTTGCCAACTAATCATATGGTTATTAAATATGAATTTGAGCATTTCAAACATATTTTGTATACAACTACTGATTTACCTCCCTTATATTCTATACAAATCTTTTGGATTTATAGAGGAGAAAAATAATTGATATAAATTATATTGCATTTCAAAAGCATGACTTTTCAAAAGAGGACTCAGAATAGGAGTCTACTTCAAAAATTTATGCAGGATATAGGGAAGGTAAATAAAGTACCCAACATCCAAAATACCCCAATTATGGATGAAATCTAGAAGAATTATAATATAGATAAAAATATCAAATTTTTCAGATTTTTTCAGTTAGGTCTGACCTTTTTATTTTCATTTTACAATTTCTTATTATTGGTAACATATTGGAAAACACCCACATGACCATGAAGTTTTTTGTTAGTTCTTAATTAGTTGTGAACGTGCATCAGTACAGATGCAAAAGAGGCCTTGGAATGCATGTGGACAGGTTTGCTACCACCAGTTGCATCCAGGTTTTCCCCAGTTAGGAGCTGGATAGCTCGGCATGTCTAGATACAGGCCTCTCTGCAACTGGTCAAGATCCGGGTCTTTGTAAGATGACTCATGCAAACAAAAGCAGGGGAAAGCCAGCAATCGGCAAATGTAAAGTTGATCCCATGGGCATTTTTGTTCTAGTTGCTGTGGTTTCTGAAGAAATGTTATTTTTGTTAATTCCCATCTCTTTCTTCTCTCTGCCTATTACCTCCATAGTTGTCGGGAGTTACACATTTCTCCCAACCTCAATAAACTCTTTCTGTTTCTTACAACATAATTTTAATCCACAAGTCCATGTGGATGCTGACATTCTGGAGCCTTAAACCTAATGTCCATACTCAGATGGTGGGACTGTATGGGTGTCAAGACTTATGCTGTAGTTTTTTTTTTTATTGAATGTCCTTAAAGACTCTTAGATGGTACTCATCTCTATGCTAGGTCTTCTGAGGAGATTAAAACAACCAAGATGAACATGCTGGTCAAATAAACACATCATATGACAATTCTTCATCTCAAAAACACAGGCAAATTTTCAATGCTAATAAATACACACAACAGCTGCAAATACATATATAAACTAAAGAAATAATTGGACTGCCACTTATTGGTGTATAATTGTTTTGCTGTTTTTTTTTTTTTTTTTACAGGTTCATTTTTTTTTCATTTTTATTTTTTAAAGCTAAAATTCAAATTTAAATATTTTCCAACTGACTCTTGAACATTCTCATCATTATTAATTGTTAACTAGTAATACTTATTTCAGTTTATAATAAAAAGACCCACAAGATAAAAATAAAAAAAAATCTAAAAATAAGATGAAGGAAAATAACAACCACATGACTATTTCAATTTTGATGGATTTTATGAAGATCCTGAAGAAACTGAACAATTTACACTAATCAATAATCTGATTGATTGTGGAAAAAAAAAAAAAAAAAAAAAAAAAAAAAAAGGTGGTAAAATAGCAGTTTATTCAAACAACACAATTTAAATTGAACTATATATAACTTTTTTTAAAATTTAATATCTGATGTTTGGTTTGGTGGCCTAAAGAATGCATTCAACCATGAAACAAATTGTTGCCACCATTGTCCACTCTTCTCATATTTACACATGCTCTCTCCCGGATATTGAGCACTTTTACCCAATAAATATAGCATATGGAATAATCCAGAGTATGCCATTATTTGGATCGAGGGTGACTTCAGGTGAACTTCTGTTGGATTGGAAGATGGTATTGGTTATGAGAAGCTTGTGCTCAGCATATATGCCGAGAAAGCAAAGCCCATTGTCATTGCAGTTACTATGACCCGTTTCTGATCACTGGACTTAACGTTGCAGCATAATACCCCACTCGGACAATGAAGTCATCAAGGATGATCACTTTGTTCCTTGGTGTAACAGTAGAGATGAGGTCATTCAGTTGCCAGTAGAACTTGTCTTCTACAGGTACATCAGAGTCAAGGTTTGGAGCGTAGACTAAGATGACTGTAAGGAAATTGTCATGTGGTAGTGAAATGTGGAAGGACATCAGGCGCTTGTTGATGGCTTTGAGGAGGAGATTATGGGTATGCACGAGAGTTGTTCTGACCACAAAATCCACTCCATGTATCTGGTGTTCTGGGGCTGGTTTTCCTTTCCAGAAACCACGACACACCACTGATTTTGTTGGGCCAGACACCTTGTCCAAACAACAGACATCTGCCTACCCAAACATACCCTCTTCTCAGGGCTTGCATCTGGCAAGAGACCATGTGGAGCTGCAAGTTGTCGATTCAAAGATCAGCTCAAAACACCTAGCTGAGGACAAAAACCGATCCAGTCAATTAGGAGACAGGACAGAAACTGCAGAAAGAACCAACTGGAGAAGAGCAGTCCACAAAAAAATGCAACATCCTTCGAAAACACCAGAAGACAAATAGAAGATTCAAAGAGCCCAAAGAAAAGCCAAAGCTCTCCATCTCATGAACACACCTACCCATGGTGACTGTGGACGTCTCTACAGATTCAACACAGAACTTATTTCACACAGAAGGAAATATCGATTATCACCCCCAATACTCAGCAACAAGTTCCACCAACAACTCAACAATAGCATATCTTAAAACTATATTTTATTGTGTGTGTGCATCAAACGCATACATACATTTTTTATTTGTATCAAGTAATTTTAGTTGAACCTAATCTTGCTAAGTAAATTTTCAAGTCTGAGTCTTATACTTAAAATATTACTCTAATGAAAGTTAGAAATTTCAGCATTTTCAGTTGTGCTAAGAAAAAATTTGAATACTGTTTTATTCTTAAAACATTTTTCATTCTTGGACTACTAATCTTATCAGGTTTATAATCTTCATGCTAAAAACAACATATATATATATATATATATATATATATATATATATATCAGGTACCTCGAAAGATTCAGCAAAAAATGAGAATACATTATGAAAAATGACCAAAACTTAATAAAAACAAAAATCTTTGTTAAAAAAGTAAAGACCAATGAATTTTTTTGACGTAATTTTTTTTTCTTTTTAATTTTAATCCTTTTTAGAACCTTCGAAATTTTGGTTAAAAACCTTGTTTTTATGGCGTCAACAGGGGGACCATAAATTAATACAGGAAATCTGAGCATCTTTTTTTTTTACAGTATAAAAAAAAGAAAAAAAAATACATCGATTTGGATATTCTTGTAAAAATCAGATAATTGTCACATAATGAAAGTTTCAAGACTTATTCTTATGAAATTATTTTTCAAACATTTTTTAGAAAAGGTTGCTAAATTTTTTTTTTTTTTTTTTTTTTTTACATTGTTTAACCAACACTTACTTAATTTTATGAAATTGAGAAATTCCTTTTTGTAGCACTGAAAGTCAAGTCCTAGGAAAATTAAATCAACAAAAATTCTTTTGGCCAAACAGGATCCCCATTCCCCAATTACAGAGAATTTGCTCGGAATTGCACAATAAAAATATAAAACTAAGACATTATCTAAGAAATATTTTTAATTGCTTACACTATTTTCGTCTTAAGGAAACACTTTGACTTAAGGCTTTTTTTCAACGAATAGTGAATTTTTAGAAGAATTGCCATCATTAAAAAAAAAAAATTAATTAGAGTAATTAATAATTTATAAACTTTTAGCTTAGAATTAAAACTAAAATAAAAGCGTCAAGAAAAATATTTTATTTTTTTTTTAAAAATGCATTATTTTCATGTCTTGTGAAAAGAAATGAAATAAATTTTCGTAATTTAATAACAGATTCTGAGCAAATTAAAATATTCTGACTTTGAAACCTACATTGAAGAAATTTGATTTTAAAATTTTGTTTGTAGTTGACCAAGAGAATTTTAAAAATACAACAAACCTTCAAAAATCAAACAGATTTTTATTTATCAATTATTTCAGATTTCTCCCCATTATTAAAATGCACATGGCGTCGTAAACAATCAAGGGCTTTAGTCTGATGTTTTTTAACATTACAACGTTTCCAATCTTTTACAGAAAATATTAAAAAAACGATATATTTGATCGGAAGTTAAATATTTACTGACAATTAATCTAAAACGAATACTTCAATTTATTATAAGACGATGATGAATAGTTCATTCAATTTAAAAATGAAATCACTTCTTTCTTAGGGAAAAACATGTTATGTGTATACACAAACAATGTGCAAAAATGTCAGATGAATTTCAAAAGGAATGAACATAAAAGTGCAAATAAAAAGGTAAAATATTTATTTTTCCACAAAACAATTTAATCAACCGAGAGAAAAACAAAAAATATTCTTGTTATTTACACGAATTAATATTCACATCGATTTTAGTTTTTTAACCAAATCTAAAAAGACAGCATAACCGGTTTGAACACTAACAGAAAAAGAAAATCTATTTCTTGATTATTAACTATAAGAAAATAAGGAACCCTATCATAATAGATGCTTTAAAAAACCATCAAATTTTACTTACGATCTCCCTCCTCATCTACTTCAAATTCTTCAGCGGCTTCTTGAACGTCCAATACATCCGCCATTTTAATATTTAGTAGCAATTACTCGGTTATCTCCCTTAACTTTGAAACTCGCGGAAGACGAACAAAAGTTCGAAACAGTGTACAATTCGAAAAATTCGGTCGGAAAAGATTCGACAATTTTCGTATTTGGTCGGAAAACGTCGACAAAAAAAAAAAAAAAAATAGCGGTGTAAAATCAAAAGTTTTGAAGATAATTATTGGGTTGGTCAAAAAGTTCATTCTTTTATTAAGTAAAAAAAAAATGACGGACTTTTTGGCCAACCCAATACACACGAGCGCATTCTTGAGAAAGTTATTTGTTTTGTACACGGCCAACATAAATCGTAAATATATACTATGCCACTATTAAAAAATTTCATTGTAGAAAGTCAATATAAGTAATTAAAATTGGTGTAGGATGCAACTGTTCCTTCAAACATGTCTTAAGCATGCGTTAGTCACATGGGGTGTTTTGTTACTCCCAAATATTTAAAGAACTCATAATTCCTAGTTGGTAACATGTTTCTTTTGCTTCCTTCCACTACCACCCTGATTCAGTGAGGGTAGTACATGGTGTGGCACACTTGTAGTTCAGTTGTCGTGGGAGGCAGACACCAGGAGACTATCCATTTTCGAAAATCTGAGATAACTAATGCAGAGTTAAGGAGTATAGATACTTTGTGTGTCAAGTGTGTCCATCTTCCTCTCCAAATTATAAATTACAATTCCCAAAAATGGCAGCTGTTGATGTATAAAATTTCTAAAAATTTTATAATACCTGCGTCCAAACTTTAGACCCTTGTGAGTCATCTTCATCTGTGTAATTAGTGTATTATGTGCAAAATCAGTGAGAGTCATAAGTAGCACATTTATTGCAACATTATATTTAAAAAATTTAATAGAACAAATCTAAAAATGAAGTAAGTTCCTTCTGTCACTTTTCACAACAATGGACATAGAACGTGTATATATATATATATATATATATTAGCTTGTCTGAATCGTCTTCAAGAAGCAAGTACAAGATCTAAAAGGTCATCCAATCTAACAGTGATCTCATCCCACAATCCTTACTCTTGCTCCATATGCAGCCTCCTTTGTAAATCACTAGCGGGTCTTGAATGCCACTTAAGATTATCACAGATAATTTCATAACTGAATCAATTAAGTTGTCAGATCCTCATATGTCGAAACTGATGGAAGAGTCCATTATTATATATATATATATATGTGTGTGTGTGTGTGTGTGTGTGTGTGTGTATTTCGTCATCATGTTTTCATTGAGACATGCTTCGTTGAATAATTTAGACATGTTCTGTCTAGTTATTTTCAATAGGATCCTTTCATATTCACGGATAAGCTTTTTGGTGTCATTATTGAAGGACAAGAGAAAATTACTGTGTTGATACATATTTCTTTTTTTTTCCAAGTGCTTTCGACATAGCAATGTCATCATCAGGGTATTGTTTATTACAAGATAAATATTGTAATGTTCATTATTGTCAAGGACAAAATTGTTGTGTTCATCTGAAAGTTAAATTTCTTACAAGTGGAGTGAGAAATGCTGCGTCAGTGTGTGACTACTGAAACCGTTTAAGGGGAGGTAACTAAGTATGGTGTAAAGAGTTTTTTTTTCTGAAATGAGCAGTAAAAAGAGAAGCTATTAGTGCACACCTTGGCATTTCAAACTATCTATTGTACACACTTAAAAACATTTGTGGAGTATTCATAATTAAATTTATTAAGGTTTGGTTTCAATTTTTCAATATAGATAGCTTCAAGAATGTTTAGTTTATGTTTAATCTTTTCATGAAAAAGTATAGAGGTATTTTCAACAAGGATTTTTCTGAATTGTGAATGTGGACAGGTATGCTGTTGTAAATGTTTAGAAATGTTAGACATATTATTCAAATGAAAACTTAGTTGCCCAGACGATGTTGTATCTCCCATGGTAAAAATAATATTTATGATGGACACACTACAACAACGTTGTCTCAAGTGATCAAGGGTAGATATTTTATATCTTCATAACCTTGAACTTTTTTCATTGTGTTGCCTTACTAATTCAATTTAATATAGCAAGTTCATTAAGATTCATAATAAACCTAATGCCTTTTTAGTTGTTACAAACTTAGTTTGAATACTCTTTGGGAACATTTTTAGACTTTTTATACTTTGTAGCAACTCTGAAATTATTTTCTTTAAATATTAAGTAGATATGCAGGACCAATTAATGTTTATACTCCCTTTCATATAACCTTGTTCTCACCAAACTAGAAGGCAGGACGAAGAGGAGGTGAAATTTCCTTGTTTTAGGACCAGGGCGTCTGGACAGGTTTATGTATTAAGTTATGTGCCCATTTAAAAACTGATGTGAGTTTACAGAATCCATTCTTACTTCCTGTACTTTTGCCCTTTAGAATTTTTGGCTACCACAGCCTCTTAGTTTCTGGTGCTTCTTATTTTACTTCTGCTGTTTCTGATCTGTGCAACTTTTTTTTACTATGGACTTCTTTTCTGCATGCATAGCCTTTATTATTTCCAGCTACCACAAACTCTTACTTCCAGCATTCTTGGTCTTACCACTTCTGGCTATCTCAGATCCTTACATTCAGCAATCCTGACCTAAACTACTTCTGCCTACCACAGAACCTTATTTCTCTGAACTTCCGGCTATGCATTGGTCCCTACTTCATCTGGTTAATCTGTGTTAATGGTCTTGCTTACAACAGCCCAGAACTTCCAGCTACACTAGGTCCCTGCTTCCAGCTTTCCTGTTAACCTAACTCACCTGATTTAGGAAATTGCTGCATGCATATCATCCAGACTCAAACAACCTACTCCGTACACTTCGGTTAAAAAATACTATGGAAGGTTCACCACTGGACTTAACCAGCAACTACACAATGCCAGCACTGGATATTTAAATTAAACTTTCTTCTCTTTGGCGATATCATCCAGACTTTAAATAACCTACTCCGTACACTTTGGTTAAAATACTATGGAAGTTTCATCATTGGACTTAACCAGCAACTTTTCAGCACTTTTGCCGAACATGTGAACTGAACTTTTGAATCGTGGGCTTAACTTACAATGTTGTATCTTCCATGGTAAAAATAATATTTATGTTGGACACACTACAACAACTTAACTTACATGGACTCTACTTTTAACGTTTAGTCTTAGTTATATTATCTAGATCTTCTAGCCAGTCAGTATCTCTTCATTTACTTACTTCTACTTCCATTACTTGATTCATTGTTTGTTCATGTTACTTTAATCCAAAAACACACTTTTGTATACGATGCAAATAAATTTTCTATTAATTTTAAGTTTGTCGTTTGTTGTCTTCTTGTTGACCTGTCAGATTTCACGTCTTTTATCTTTAAAATGTTAGTGGGCCTCTTGTGACTCACTCTTATTTGGGGCACACAGGCCATATTATATATCCAGGGGGTCTACTATATATATATATATATATATATATATATATATATATATATATATATATATATATATGTATATATATATATATATTCATGAATTATTCACACAAAATGCAAAGGTTAATGAAATTTAATTGACGAGAAATCCGTAAAAAACAACCAAATAATATAAAAACAGATCCGAATCCGTTATGAATGAAAAGATCCTTGTTTCTATAAATTTCGCCGCATTAGTTCTTATTTTTACTACAAGTTTCCTGTTCCTCCGACAATTGTCCTCTTATTACTGAGAGAAAAAACAAGAACAACATCTATTCCATACCTGAAGATGTCGGTAGGAACAGACGAAAGCTTGTAGTAAAAATAAGAACTAATGCGGCAGAAATTTATAGAAACAAGGATCTTTTCATTCATAACGGATTCGGAGGTTTTTGTATATTATTTGAATTGTTTGTGACGATGGATTTCTCGCCAATTAAATCATTAACCTTTGCACTTGTTTTTGTGTGAATAATTCATGAATTTGTAAATTGATTGCACGTTTATCGAAATATATATATATATATGTATATACTGTAGGAAATTCAATTATCCAGGTTTTTTATATTAAAAATCAAAACATCTGAATTTCAAACAATAATAAAATAAAAATAACGAAAACATGTGTATCCCTCTTAAATAAATCATTTGTATTTACAGACATAAGTACATGAATTCAAATAAGTCGAAAAGGAGTAAAAATAACCTTTAGTTGAGTTAAAGTCCATGGGTAGTTGGTACACAGAAAAGGATGTAGATTAGAAAAACTTTTAAATATTAGGTCTGCAGAAAAAATTGCAGTTGAAAAAAGACTTTTAAATAACTGGTCCACAGAAAAAAAAACTATAGTTGAGAAAATACTTTTATCATTAGTGAAGATTAAACTGACTGTCTTTGTTGTTTTTGTTGTTGTAGCTGATTTGTTTGAAATTGCCAATAAGTAGCCATGTCTATGAATGGCTTGGAGGCAACTATATCTCTCTTGAGCTTAATCAGATTGGGGACAGCAGCATATCTGTTCCCTGAAAGTTGAAATCTGTGGCTTTTTATAAGAAATTTTTCCCAAAAATATTTCACATGGTGATGTTAATTTCTATAAAATTCACTCTCTATCTGGTATTTAACACTTTTCTTTGATTTAAATGGTGTGTGCAGTGACATGCAGAGGTTTGGTGATATTTGGTGATGCCTGGGACAAACTCCTTGATTGTATGCCCTCAAACTCAAGTAGGGAGGCCTATAGGCCCTAATACTGAGAAATGTCAGAAAGGAAGACATTTTAAATATGTAAAAACAGATGAAACATGAAACAAACCCTTTATTCCAATTAAATATAAACTAAATTTTTATTTCACTCCTTGATTTCACTCCCGATATGGATGCCCAGGGCCCTCACACTCTCTACCCTCCTTTCTGCACACTACTGGGTGTGTGTTGTATTGTGAAATCTTTTTGGCATGTTATTGTCTGTTATTGGGTAGAAAATAAAGTTTATACTGTTAATAAACAAACAGTGCATTTACTCAGATATGTGTA